GTACAACAAAATTGATGATGTATCCACGACGAATGTGAGGAGTTACATTGCTGCAGAGTGAGTCCCTGCAGACGTGAGAAGTCATGTTGGGCAGGAAATGTGTCAAGTTGGATCCCATGGTACCTTGCTTGATGCTATCAACTGTACGCTTCTAGTAATCTGACCGGAAATGTGTGTAGGATGCATAAGAGAGATCACAAGGAATCTCACCAAGGAAAATGGAGGAGAGATGCTGGGAGTTCTGTTTACGTAGCGTCTTCTTTTTTTTTTTTTAATACGGAAATCGATTCACGGTTAGTACGGAAATTCAGTTGGCGTTTAGGCGCATTTCGAATCTGTGCAGCAAAATTGATTCCGCCGTAGTATTGATTGTTGTACTGCTCGCTTCTGGCTTTTTTTATTGCCAATATATGAAATAATACGCCCGCGAACTTTAGGTTTCCTTGGGTGAAATCGATAATTCATGTCTGTGAAAAAGCGATTCGATTTCCGCGATATTCATAATTCAAACTCTTTAAGAAAACAATTCGAAGTGCTTCTCCGGTGATGTGGCTGCCGAGTTTGCTGCGTCAAAGGAGTATAATTAGTCGACAGAGTCTGAGCACGAGGGCTACACGTGGCTGGGTTTCGCTGACGTGGCTACAGGTGACTCGCAAAACGGAAGAGATTGAAGCAAGGGTCCATGTGCAGCCCCACCAGCCAGGATGAGAGTAAAGATTCTTTTGGTGCTACTCCATCAGTGTACTGAGCATCACGATTGTACCTGACCATCCTTCCGCTCCGATGCACAAAAAACTTTGAACGAGAATGTGCCCCGAGTTGTGTGGCTTGTGCGTTAGGAATAAGGGAAAGTAGAGAAAAGGAAAAAACAGTAAAAAACTCCAGCAATTTCGATAGGGAAAATTTGCGGAAGTTTTTTCGCTTCCGACTTGGGGCCGTCGCTCACGCCTATCGCGACGGAAAGTGAAGGTCCCTCACGGGTAGCACTGTGCATATGAATCCTGTGGGACCTGTACCAGATCGCGCTTAGATGCATTACATCCGATCCGAGCAACGCCCGTACGACCTGATGCATTGGGAGAAGGAAGGCGCTTCTTCTCCGCTTCTCAGCTGTCCGTTGCACTCCTTTTGTCTCTTCTCCGGTCTCCCAACATGCCTCGTTGCTCTCCTTGTTACGTTTGCAATGAGCTTAAACAAACGGTCTGGTAGGTGAAATCGATAGTCCAGTTTTGTCAATAACAATTGCGTTGCTGCTGTAAAAGCTGTCGACGTCAAGGTTATCATTTGTTTGTCGAAGCAAAGAACACCCCCCTTCTATGCCCATGTGCTGATGTCAATTCCGCCCTGAGCAGTCTCTTGCTGACGAATGAGCGAACCGCCGTTCGGACGGCGGAGGTCCCTATGCATTGCGGAGTTTGCGTTAGAAACGCCGTACGAGTTTGATCAATCAGCTGACGGGTACCTCTTCTTTTCTTTGTCTTTCTTCAGTTTCGATAAGTTTTTTTTGTTTGTTTGTTTGTGTGTGTGTGTGTGTGTGTGTGTGTGTGTGTGTGTGTGTGTGTGTGTGTGTGTGTGTGTGTGTGTGATCTGTGGGCAGGGGCCATGCTACTCTTCCCTGCATTGTTCCAATTCTAGCGCATGTTTCCAAGGACCCGGGAGGGTTTGATTCACCATTACAGGAGTGGTTGAGCGCTGAGTTTTCAGCTGGAATTCGTTTTCTGTGGATATTCATTTGTTTTCTTTCCACTTTAGCGGCTTGTCATTAGTTTCAAACGGTTTCTTTGGGTGTAAAACGACAAGTGGCTGAGCCGCTGACTGCGAAAAAAGAGCGCTGAACGTGTTGCGGTCGCTGACATGGCTGCGGACAGCTCGCAGAACGGACGAGACTGAGGAAAGTCTCCATGACAGCTCGCTCAACCAGCCAGCTCACGCTAATCTTGAGTGTGGGTGGATATGAAGCGCCCTTGCTGTCCGGTTAAGGGCCTCTGCGACGCCTGCTGTGATCGCTGGCATTGCCATGTCTGCTCCTTCGCTCGTGTGCGATTCCCCTTACTGGGCTGTTTGCTGCTGGCAGTGGCAGTCACTGTCGTGTGTGTCCGTCGTCCGATCCTCGTATCATCAACAAGAAAGGGACCGCTTAGAAGGAGAATTTCCTCCAATTCGGGCAGCCAGGGGAGTGCTCGCCTTCTTCAGGAGGAGTTGACAAGCGCCGACGCATCAGCCTCCCCGCCGCCCGCTTGGATGGACTCGAACGGAGAACCACTGCTAGTGCAAGGAGAACTACCGACAGCTGAGCCGCCGTCGTTAGTGAACGGTTCCATCGAGGTCTTAGTGTCCCATCCCTTGCCGGGTAATTCCACTAAGCCGCGAGAATGTCGGTCGGAAATCAGGAACCTGGTCGTGGTTTCGTCAGGCAATGAACAACAACCGTACTATATCCTGCAGCAGTACTGCTCGAAAGATGGTAATGACACCTATTACTCGATGTCTATCAGGAAAGCGAACCTGTCACAGCGCTTGGAGGAAACCGACGGTTCGAGCCAGCAGGATGACGAAACCACATTGGTAACGCATATGTGGCCGTTCGACCAGCCGAACGGGTCAAGAATCCCAAGCGGGATGGATTTCGGCGGGAAAAGTATGGCTCACGTGACAGGGATGGGTCTGTCCAAAGATGGGGCTCATCTCCTCCTCAGCGTAACGAATGGAAACACCTATAGGCTGCGACGGACGTATGGCGAAAGTAGCTCCATGTTGACTTCGTTGTCTCTAACTGATGGCTCTCGATCGTCCGTCCCCTACTACAAGTTCGTTGAGTCGTGGGCGTTGGACTCCAAGATGGGAGATCTTTACTATTCCTCACAAGATGCTCCACTATCGCTTACCGAAGTTGATGATTCGGGACTTCCAAAATGGCAAGGGAGTAGCTCGACTTCACTTTGGGGGCCGGTCCGTGGCGCGGAATTCCAATCTCAAAGCCTTGTTTCGGATGGCAGTTGCCTTTACTGTCTGCAACCTGATGGCCGAGTGCTAGGGCTAAATTTCCGAGAAGCGGCCATCACTTTAGTAGCCAGCCTGGATATCTATCTATCCAAGGTGTATGACGTGGTCTCAACGCCAGACGGATGCCACGTGTTTGCATCCATCGGATATTCAGTTCCTGTCCATACCGTCGTCTCCACCTGCAATACGGCGAGCAGAGAGGTGGGAAGCATAAATCATCCCAAATGGATGGACTTTGTAGGATTGGCTCTCCACGATGACGGTGAGCGGTTGATCCTGTTCATGGGAACCAGCCATGGCAAATTGTTTCGGGTACCGCTGAGCAGGTCGGAGCTGGGAGGTTGTAAACCCCCGAATAACATCAAACTGCTGGCCATCCTGGCTGCAACCGGGGGCGGGGTGTTTGTGGCAATCGTCGTCGGCGTACTTTGGGCTTGGCGGCGCAGAAAGCATCGTCGTCAAGCTCGCCAGCAGCATTCCATCCTTACTGGACCGTCGGGGGCTTCATCTTCACAGGATGGCCTTGCTGTGGCCGCTTGGGGACTCAGGCCCTCACGCGTGAAACAGTTCGATTTGAAGACCCTGTCGGACTGCACGGACAATTTCAGTGAGACCCATCGAATCGGGGAGAGAGGGGCCTTCGGGAAAGTCTACAGGGGTTCGCTTGACGGCAAGGAGGCGGCAATCAAGGTGATGACCGGTGAGCTGACGGCCATCAAACGCAACCAGTTCGTGGCGGAGGTCAACACCCTCAGCGCAGTTAATCACGTCAACCTCATCCAGCTAGTGGGGTACTGCCAGGAGGTCAATCAGTGCATCCTGGTGTACCCTTTTTTCCGAGGCGGCTGCTTATACGAGCGGCTGTTCCCTAACAGACAGAATCGAAGGGGCCTGGGGGAGGAGGATTCTTTTCCGCCCCTCACTCTCCAAGAGCGCATGAGCATCACCTTTCAGGTGGCCAAAGGGCTGTGGTATCTCCATGATGACGCCAAGCCTCCCATCATCCAYCGTGACATCAAGAGCMACAACGTCCTTCTTGGMGATGGCTRTGGGGAGACACTCCACGTAGTCCTTGCTGATTTCGGATTGGCGTCCATAGGGGAAAGAGTSTTAGACACTGGGCACGACCATGTGGTGCTCACATCTCACATCGGTGGCACCTTTGGGTACATGTCCCCAGAGTACATGCTGAGAGGTGAGCTGTCTGAGAAGAATGATGTGTACTCCTTTGGGGTTCTTGTGCTGGAGCTGCTGACTGGAAGGAAGGTGGTGACACCGGCCCCTTCTGGGCTAGGATGGCAGACCCTCGTCGAGTGGGTGAAGCCTTTCTTGCGGGATGGAGGTGAAACTGGCCAAGATTTCAGCTTGGACTTGCCAAATGCGATTCTTGACCGCTGTTTGTGGGATCAGGTGGCCGGAGACTGGACAAAGCAGATGGTGATGACCACTTTCAGGTTGGCTTGGGAATGCGTCCATGAAGAGTACAGGTCGAGGCCCGCAATGCGGGCTGTTGTGCAGCGCATTCACAGCATGTTTCTCGATGTAGGCTGGGAATTCTTGACCAGGACCATGGACATGGAGAACCTTCTGGCCATGCCACAGGCAGAGGATGGTATGCAGGGGGAGGACTACGATGAGACCCAACAGCATTCTGACGTGTTCCTACACGGCAGGGGCATAAGAGATGGCAGCGTAGTAGATCCAAGGTGAGTACTAGAATGTAGGCGCTTGGAAACGCGCTCTTTCTTTCTCTCTTATCTTTTCAAAGGGGTAATTATAGCCACTAACATTATTGTATCGCTAGCGTCGGATCTCTTTTTTTTTTTTTTTTTTTTTTTTTTTTTTTTT